CCCCCGTTGAAAAGGTTATTTTATTAGGATTTCAATGGTATTCTTTGTTTTAAAGGGGGGTGAATACGCGCTGAGATATTTACGTTATAAACAATTGAGTTGTAAAATCGTCAAAATGTCGCTTGTCGATAAAGAGTTAAACTTGCTGAGCATGCGCAGTTGATCATTTTTCGCCCGGTCGCCTGAAAAAAAGTGGGTACATGATAACGTAATCTTCCGCAGTGTTTACAACGGTCAGTTACGTCTCTGTATGTCTCTACTCCGTGCTAATACCTTGGTTGCCAACACAACTTAGAATTAAATCAATTTAAGGTGGCTCCATACAGTTTCTTGAAAAGTGGAAAAGACACATTTCAAACCAAAAAATTTTGTACATTGATATTTTTATAGAAGAATGAAACCAGATGTCATGTATACAACAGTATTTTGAGAATCAGAAAATGTATAAACGGAAAACTCCGTAATTGTGGTCACTATGGCAACAATGGCATTTCAAAATATGGCTGCTAATTTGCATTTAATTAGGTTTAACTCGAAAACAATGTCGGTGACCCCCAATTTTTATTTTATTAAAAGTTTTTTCCCAGTATGAGCAATCAGGACAATTTTTAAAGAATTCTGTAGATCCAAAATTTTTCAATGATTAATTTTAATGCAAATAGCAGACATTTTGAAACATCATTGTTGCCATAGCAACCATGGTTACGCATTTTTTGTTGCAGTTTCCTACTCTCAAAAATCAAAATGCTTGTTCCATTTAGTTTCATTCCTCTAACAAAATATCAATGAACACTAAGATTTTGGATCAGAAACGTGTGTTTTCTACTTTTCAAGCCCCATAGGCATAGGTGACAATTAAATCCATTTCACAATTTTCTTGTTAGTTTTACCACGTGTGTTTTATCATTTTAGATCGTTTTATTGGTCGTTTTAGATAGTTTTACTGGTCGTTGTAGGTTTAAGGCAATTTTTATCTTTATCATATCAATACTGAAGAGGATATTATAGCAAAAGACGAAATGTTGCAAAAGAAATTAAAATCTAAAGGTGAAAATTCTCTTGAGAAATGTGAAATTGTTGTCAGTAAAATTACACCACTAAAATTTAAGTACTCCAAGAACACAGAAGTGCTATCTGTTCAATTTAGTTATGGTTACTGGAACTCACATGGTGTGCCCCAACATTAACTGCATATGGTCAACTAAATATACAAAGGACAATGACAATTGTGTGCTGTATGTAAGTTAATATTTATATTTGAAGTTCCCTGAAGCAGTAACATAGATAGTAAGGATTTTAATTTGCTGTAACTATGCAGTGAAACACTAGTACTCTGTCAAATGTTTGAGATAGATAAAACTGCATGAATGTTTTGTTCCTATGCATATATGCAGCTTCAGGCTACACTGGATCGATTCCCGGAAAAAATGTTGAAAATCCATAGAATGGATCTTTATTGGAAATATGTTTTTTTGATTATCCATAATAATACACCCTTTCGATAATTACGTCACACATACTTTTTGGTCTTGAAGCCTCACTCGCATTAGTAAATTATGCAAGGTGTGATTGGCTAGCTATTCACGAGAGTGAGGCTCCCAGGCCAAATGACTTAATTATCGAAAGGGTGTATTGTATATTTCCATACTTTGGATATAGTATCCAAATAGTATGGATATACTGTGGATTTATTGGTGCAATGGCAAATCTCATAGCATGGATTTTACTTTTTTCCCAGTGCTAAGGGTCTATTTATGTACCAATAATGGTAGGGAGCCTGGGAGTTCAAAGCTGTATAGCACTAGGGACTGGTGATTAACCCATTGAGTGGAAGCAACCTCCCCACTGCCGAGTAAAATGATCTGGCAGATCATATCTCCCCCCTGACGAGTAAAATAATCAAGTAGGGTGCATTGCTACTTGATGAGTTAATAATAGGGTGCATGTGCAGATAGTCTGATTAACACATTGAATGGCAGCACTCTCTCCCTGATGAGTAAAATCAATTATTGTTTTCCAATGCTCTTTAACGCATCAAGCAGCAATGCTCCCCAGTGCACCCTGCAATTTTACTTGTCAAGGGCTAACCCTTGAAGCCTAATATAATTGGTTAATAATGGTCTTCCCAATGTAGAACTGGCAGTAAAGCATTATAAGACCTTATGCATAATTTGCAATCTGAAATAGAATCCTATGTAGCAAGAACCACAACTAGGTAGCAAGAATTAGGTCTGACCATCCAGTCCATGCTTATGTATTCTTGTAACATGGGAAACTATGTTTAATTGCAAATTATGCATGAGTTCTATGCTATTAAGATCTTACCTTATCAATGATCAATCTAGACAATTAATTCAAAATAAGAGTTGTACTCTGTAATGGTAGTGTATTTCTTATGATCAATAGAATAACCTTAATGAATATCATAGTTCCTGTATTCAGTTTTTCCTGTATTAATTTTTTCTTAATGAATATCATAGTTCCTGTATTCATTTTTTCTTGTAATTGAACAACAAGGGTTAATAATACCTTTTCGCTAGTGTATTCACATTTACATAGCCTCATCAAACATTTCTTTCAAAGAACTGTGAACCTTACAATCTGTTACACTCTGTTGTATCATGCTCATTATATCACTACAACATGCAACACACTTAGTGTTACTTTCTGGTTCCATTGTGTTTCCACAGAAACAGTACCTTCCTGGATTTTTAATGATCCTGTTAGGTACATATGACTTTCCTGGTTTCCGTTTTGACTGGTAAGTGGTACTCATTGGGTCAAGCTCTCTCATCCACACGATGGACACAAACTCATGTCTAAAGACAACCCACCATCTGTCACTCTTTCGCACATTACATGTGTTCTGAACATACTTAGCCAATTTGATGTGTTTTGCCTCTCTTCCCTGCATTGTGTTCAAACCCAATCCATACCCAATGCTCTCAAACAACTGGTTGCAATGGTATGGAATTGCATATCCAACTGTCCAGGTTGTGGGGCACACAGCATTACCGAGAAATAAGCAGTTTGTGTGGAAATAGTTATTGCATTTCAGAAACAATTTCTGAATTAATTCTCTATCTACTTCAATCCTGCTGTATATAGCTACAGCCTCCCTCAACTGCAGTGCTGCAAAAGCCAAAGCATGCAATTTAAGCTTTGTACTCTGCTTGATTGAGTCAAAATTCAAAAGTTCCTGAATAGCGAAAGCAAAGTTCCAGGAAAATTTCTTGGACTCTAACCCAGTAAACCTGTAGGAAAAACTAATTTTATTTTTCCTTTTCTCACGAAACCAGCGCGTAAAGCTCTTGGAAAGGCGTCCACTTTTCACAACGTTCCTAATGCAGTACATAAACTTTACAATTGGAACTGAACTTGTAAGTTCAGTAAAAGCAGTTACTGCCTTGAGCACATTAGGATTGGTGTATTGCATCGCTATGGCTAACATAAATGTAAACAAATGCTGCCATGCATTATTGGTGTTATGAAGCGGCTCTGCTTTCACACAGTCAACATATTTACCACGAGCAGGTGCATATTCTTGCCTTGATCTTTCCTTTGATATGAAAGCAGTAACTTTACTTCTTTCCTTTGTCACAGGATCCTTTAGCATTTTCTTGAATTTTTCGACCTTTTTCACCGTTTCCATTCGGTCGTCATAATTCCAAGGTTTCCATGTTGCACTAGAATGTTCACCAATCGAACTGCCCATAGTTCCTTTGTTATCTTGGTTCACATTTGCAAAAGATGAGAAATAGGTTGCAGCATTGTTCAGCTCACCTGACATAGATGCAACCCATTTCTGATCAGCTAGGATCAATTTTAACTTAAAGGTGACTTCATACCCTCTTTCTGTTTTCCAGCATTTTCCTTCAATTTCTTCCATTTCTTTTGTCAAGTGCTCAGTATACTTCTTCAGAAGAGGATGATCTTCTTCACAGTTAGCACCAAACAACAAGTGATTGTTGTTACAACTCTGCACACCCTGGAAGAGGTTCAGAAAACTGACTAGATATGCTGAAAAGAAAAAATATTAAGTGTATTATTTACATGCAAGTTAGCATTTTTTAAGTCTTATATGTGGCATACAGTATATGCCACTAGCAATGTTGTGGTACAGTGCTTTTGGCAATAGCTGATGGATGTGAACGAAGTCTAAGACAATAGGGTGGGTGCCGGTATAGCGATATGAAATAACCAATCACACAACGTTTAACTTGCCACTGCATTGTATTGTATACTTAACTTTAGCACACAACTCTTTAAGATGCAACTATCCCCTCTTGTCAAGTAGAACCGTCCAGCGTTAAACAGAGTAGAATAAGCAATATTGGCAGATAGTTTTGTTAATTTAACACACTACACTGCAAGGGTCTCCCCATTGAGGAGAAAAATTGTCTGGCATAAGACAATAAAAAAACAATGTTGAGCACAGTACGGCACATTACCGTCTTAATAAGTTAGGGATATACTTACCTGTTGCATTGTCATCTTTTCCAAATGGGGCTCCATCTGCACCTATCGCAGCATATATGACATTCTTCTCATTGTTGAACCAAGTCAAGCAAGGGTTCTCTTTGTTAACAGTCATATACAGATCAGTAAGTCATAACAGAAATGGCTTCAATGGTCTGTAAACACCGGGAACTGATTCAATGCAAAGTTTTGTGGCCAGAGTTTGTAAATCAACCACCTGCCCAATGTCTCTACTTTTCACATCCTTCCATTATCTGACACTTTCTCTTCTTGTTATCACCAGTTTCGATGATGTCACAGCTATTGCATACTCTTGTGTACTTTCTTTTCCCAAGCAATCCACCTTCATATAGCACACGCATGCTTCGCACTTGGTTTGGTGTGCTTAATTGGTACTCTTTAATCTTGCTGTTAACAATTCCTGGCAAAACTTTCTCCATACACATTTTGGATTGGGAAATATATGTTGCCATCTCAGATGCTGATGCTGTTCCTAACAGGGTTGTCCATAAGCCATCATTAGCAGCTTTTGACTCACTATTAGTTGGTCTTGTATTTGCAACACAATGAACTGATCTAACAGCAGCAAGTGTCCTCTTCTTCCTTCGCATCTGTTGTGACCTTGAAAGGTTTAACTTGTCACTACAAGATTCGGAAATCTGGCTCGGCTTTCTTGGCTGTTTGGCATTGCTGGTATTAGATAAGCACTTGTCAGGGGAATTTTCATTCAGTTCTTGCAGCTATAAGCAAGAAAAAGAATTAGTTAACCTTTGATTAAGCTAGTATACTTAACACTAAAAGTCTACAGTCGAACCTGTATTAAGCGGTCATCCTCAGAGATTTTGCTAGTGACGCTCAATACAGGTTGACCGCTTAATACAGGTCTTGTAGAAAATCACCACATGGCTTAAATAATATGTCCACACAAACTGAATATAATGTTGGCACTTTCAGTGATTACGGAAGTTCAAGTAATGAGATAAACAAAACTTAAAGACTTCGACATGTTGCCAGATAAACATTTAATTGTATATTGTATTATGTTTACTGTAGTTACATTGCACTGACAGTTTGTCCGTTTTATAAAATTTCAAAAAACCCCGAAAAATTAAGTTTGGGACCGTGGAAAAGGCGACCGTGTCCGCTTCATAGAGATGACCATTCAATAAAGGTCACTTAAATAGTATTTATATAATGAAATTTTCGGGACTTTGCCACATGACTGCTTAACAAAGGGTGACCACTTAATAGTTAATACAGTGCCACTTAATACAGGTTCGACTGTAGTTAAATTGCAATGCCCATCTCAAAAACATTAAACCTAAAACAATAATGAACTCATTTAAGCGCTAGACACTTAATTGACATACTCATTGAAGGACCTCGTCTTGGGTCCAGCAGAATAAAATATGCATTGGGGATAAGTGGTTAACACAAGACATCATTAGCAGATACTTTGGTCAGATTGGTGGCATAACTGTACAAGGCTCTTTTATTTTTGACAAGTAAAATCAATCGCATGGCAGTAGACAGGGTAAAATAATTGAGTAGGTCACATTGCGTCTAAATGGGTTAAAAATACACTAGCAATAATGTGTTAGTCTAACATCTATTGTGAGAAAGCAATCTATTGACTTCTGCCATAGTGATCACTTTTGGTAAAGTTCGCTACTTTAGGACATTTGTTATATTTCTGTAAAATAAACATTAAATTTACTAATAACTGTAAAGTCTGGGTAAGGTTTTATTAATTGCACTCTCATACAGAAGTACTATTAAAGTACAAAGCTTCTAGGTATACATAATTTAAATATGCTAAATTTAACCTTTCGCTTCCTTTTGGATATAAGCTCTCATCTTGAATGCAATTTTTTGGCCAATTCTTGCAGCTCTGTTTCTTGTTTAACCACCTCAACTTTTATTTCTTGAACTTTTTTTACTTTTTTCTCGGCCTTTTTTAACAGCTCCGCTTGTAAAACAGCACTTTTCGTTCGTTGATATGCTCCTAGCTGAAACCTTCGTTTCTTTGAGATTGAGGGTGTGCTAAAATGCATAAAGACAACATGATCTAAATATTTGGTAATGCATAATTGAGTTCAAATTCATGAATTTTTCATGAGTTTATAAACTAAATTTTAATCGTATGATTTTAGAATTTATCGTTTTAAGTTCAAATCGACACAATTTCATTTTTAAACACCTACCTTGATAATTCTTTGGCAGAATCACTAACACCATTTTCAGGTTCAGTCATTCTTTTATTTAGGCCACATTCATGCGATAAAACCACAGGATTTACATATCAAAATGAACACAGGAATCCCGCCATTTTGAATCAGCTCATGAAATTAGTTTTTCTCGTACCCAGGTTCTTCTGTTTTTAGTTGAAAACGGTTATGAAATCAGCTCTGGGCAAGGTTAGCTTTATCCAGGCCCCTTTCGCGAATATAGGTGCCATTTTCAAAAATTGTTGTCAACCGCAAGAGATACATTGGAGAGGCAAAGAGCCCCAGTGTTGCCGGTCCGCTGGCTGTCTTCCATTTCTGGCAATGCAACATGGTGGATTTTAAACTAATTAAGCTGTTACTATAAAAATCCAATATGGCAGATTTATCTAGAGATTTATAGGGAAATAGCAATATTTCTCAAATATCTTAGTTTCTAGAAAACATTTTTAAAGACCCTCACATCTAAATATGCTTGATTGTTGTAAGCGCAGGTATTGATTAGTATTTTGGGTTAAATTATCATCAACTACATACTTCCCCATGCAAAAATTTACAACAACGATATAGCTAATAAAAACTACTAGTAATCTATCAAATTTCGGCAAATTTACATTTTTCAATCCTTAACTCATTCCCATCCGGTCGAAAAGTAGCAATTTCGAGTGGTGTTGTTTTAAACGCATATACATCGCATATATTTTATACATCGTACGAGAATAGCATCGTTCGAAAGAGGAGGACTTCTGCTTTCCAACAATTTCAATTTCATCCGCAGCTTGGTTAACGATTTATTCGCATAAATTTGCATAAATTATGACAAAAAAAAAAGTTGCAATTATGCATAAATGTATTTAGCGGTTCAAATTTCAAATATTTCAAAAAATGTTATGAATATGACTGAAAGATACGGTTATGATCTACAAGTACCCGAAGTTTCATGCATGTAGCATAAATAGAAATATTTTTATTGAATTTTTATATAAACTAGGTAGTGGAGTAAAATTTACATTTTGTGCTCACATGAAACAAATACCTTTATCAAAGGTCCTTTTTTATTGCTGCAACATGTTGTCAATACAAATAAGATAGTATGGCACCAAAATAAGTCTGTGATACCCACAAAAGAACACTCAAATCATGATTAGCAAAATGTCTTTATTTCTACAGAACTTTACTACATACATTCTTAGATAATCATTACACCATTGACTTTAGTTATTAGTGGCATAACCATGAGCCTTGAAATTTGGTCATGCTATTCAAATTTGAAATAATCACTACTCAATTGTTTAGAAATTGATTGTTTTCACAATCTAGAACATGAAAATATTTGCAAATAGCATGACCAAGTGTTGTTGGGCTGGCATCGTCATAATGAGTAGTTATAAAAAAGTAATGTTTTCCAAGGCAGTAATGTTTGCTAAAGCAGTAATGTTTGCCAAAGCACATAATCGGATTATGTGGTGAAAATATTTCCTTTATATTGTACTACAAAAGACCTAAAACTGTATCCAAACTGATATCAGATCACCACGTCATACCCAAATCCGTTGCGATGAATATCTGGACTTCTTCCTGTATAAATTTCAAAGTCGCAATATAACCATTAGGATTGTCTGCAGCAACCCACAGATTTATCCCCCACATAGTAGGTCATCTAGCTTTCATGAACTGCCTAATTTATAATCCCCAACCTATTTCTTGATTTGACAGACGTGTGTTTGTCTGCAACAACAATATTCTGTGACGGCTGGTACAGTTGTTGATGCAGTTTATTGCTGTAGTCTTTAGTACAGGATCTACCATATTCACAAACGCCATAAGCGCTTTGTACCTAACCCGAGAAATTATTTCTATTGCCCACAGACCATGATATAAGGTTTTTACACTCCAATAATTTTCAATCTCACTGTCGACCTTTAGCAAACCTGCATATACTAAAAGGCAATCAACCTCTCAAGGTTGGTGGACTGCAAGACCCTTCTTTATTAGTATATGAGGATAACTTTTGAGTTATTTGTATGTGGGCATATGTATTGATATGGCCAGGAAACTACCTCCTTAGTAAAAA